CAAATCCTGTTATTTTTATCATACAAAAACGATATAACTTAATCAAAAACTATTTTACGTTCTTATTTATATATATATTTAATTAAGTTCATACGATATTTATTTACATTGAATTCTATATAATGCGTCTTTAGAATAATGTTACCAACAGTATTGCGAAATAAGAAGCGTTCAAACGCATGAAATAAAATGTCAGCGCAGAAATTTTGTATTTCCATAATCGGCAAATTAAACATTTGCCGTCATTAAATCATTGGTATTAAAATATGTAAAATAACAGTGAAAATAAAAGTCAGTGTTAACAGTTTTATCGCACGCGAGATTTATCGCGCCCTCCACGATTATTTATATATTTGCCGTTGATATCGGTACTTGCAATTAATATCGTTAAAACGCTTAAGGATTTTCTCAGCGCGTGCGTATCGTATAAAAAGGCCATAAATTCGCGATGAATAATTTATTTCTTCCCGGTGTGCCCGACGGGGGACAGTAATTATTACAATTGTACTTCAACTCGCGCGAACGATTAATCATTGCTGGCATGTCTATATAACTATCGCACCATCGGAAAATCGATGACGTTTCGCAAGCTAATCCAAAAGCCAATTATCGACTACTGTCGATCATTGTTGATTGATGCATGCATATGCTAACTAAAAAAATTGTAGAATATCTAAAATGTTATACAGAGCTAGTGCATAGTGAAAGACTAGAACAACTTTATTGCCTCTTGCGAATACAGTGTACTTTGCATAATTATAGCATTGAATGCCTTCCTGATGCAATTTTATTAAACACATATAGAAATGTAGCATATATACAGTGGCCTTAAATTCTATTTTATGCGTGTTCATTACTTAATAAAAAAAGTAATATTTTTATTTTTGTGGATGTAACTTGCAAGTCGTAGAATAATAATTATGGGTCGTTTGTAAAAAATATAAATAAATTTGATTAATTATAAATAATTTTTATTACAAGTAACATTTATTCGAAGAAAAAGTTAATTTTTTAATTATAAATATTGGCAGAAACAAAATTTTCGTTACACAAATTCTAAAAAACTGAGTTTTTTAAATTAGGCTTCCTAAATTATTTTCTTTGATGGCTTTTGAACTATGAAGTTTCTAAAAGAATATAATTTAATCAAAGTTTCTAAAAATAAAAGCGTTTTGTTATATATTTTAGTTTAACCCTTTATCTTATCTTTCTAGACGTTTTCCGAAATTAAATAATTAGTCTCTAAGGTATTCGCACATAATACTCGTATAATTCCAGTAATACGATCGTTATAGTAACGATGATGTTTTGCCGTTTCAATGGCTATTCCATTCGGCGGCGGCAATCGATGGCCGCAGAACCGCGCTAATTAGAGCGGCCGCGGTACGGGCCATCCATTCGTAACGCGATATGGATAACTATCTAGTAGCCAGCGGTGAGGACGTGGGTTTGAGGTGCGGTGGGTGGCGGTGCCGTTCGGGCACGGGGTACATCGTGCAATACGCGGGCCCCGACACGTGCACACATCCCGCTTATAGCGCGCTAGTTAAATTTCGATACGCCGTTACGCGCGGCACGGGATAGATGAAACATGGTGTTGTCGTAGCGTCGCCGCGCGCGGGCATAACGCGCGACAAATATTCCGCAAATAAAAGCTCGCATCATCCTCCCCCTCGCTGTCCGCGCCCTCGTCCCCCGATCATTCCTATTCCCCACGTTATTTACAGAATGTCGCGCGGGGGTGGTCTGCGCGGCCGCCGGCAATTTTTAACAAGTCGAGCCGTGTACCGACGATGGCCTCCATCGAGCATGCCGAGGGGGTGGCAGCGGCAGGGGCGCACATTCAATGTATTCGACGCGCGTTTTATTTCGTGCCACACGCGCGCCCGCGCGCACGTATACGCGCCCTCTCTCTTCCTCACTCTTTTTTTTTGCGTTTTCCCTTTTTTGCGCTTGTTTTACGCTACCGCTCGATTTTTTTCGCCTTTTTTGGTCGACGCTGGATTGCTCGGCAACTACCAATCAGGATCATCTGACAGGAAATACCCCGCGCACCCGTCACCGTTCGCCACTTGTGTCCACGGCGTTCCCGCCGCCACTCCGCCTCTCATTTCTGCTTCCCTTCCTCCCTCCGTCCCGGAGTATTCGCCGCCGCCATCGCCATACGTTCACTGACCAATTTGTTCGATAAAAGCCCTCGACTGATTGGCCTGACAACGTGGCCACGGCTCTTTTTTCCGAGCCCGAAATTTACCGTGGTACTCTTGTTGCACCCCCAACCTCCCTCAAGCCTTTGCCTTTTACCTTCCAAATCTCTCCACCGCCACTTAGTACCACCTTTCCCTTCTACCTTCGTCTGTTCCTTCTTCGGATTTCTCAGACAGTTTCTGTGATTCGTGGCAAGGTTTGCGAATTAGTTGGCAAGCGATGCAGTTCGTTGATCTCGTGAATAAAGGTTTTGTGGACAAATGGCGATTGGATGAAAAGATGAATCTTCTCCATTTTGCAGAAAGCATTGCGAAAGTTTAATTAAAAACTGACGAAACTTATCTGATAAAATGTTATTCAAGATAATCTGTGCGAAAATTTCTGAGAAATTTTAATTAAAAATAGCTGACTCTTTTGAAAGAAATTTATTTCCTATATATAATAAAATTATCTTTCAACAATAGAAAAGGAATATAATTATTAAGTATAATTTTCTCGACCCACGCAAAATGGGGAAATATTTGACATATTTTGTATTTTATAATGTTTTTATGTTAGTTATAATAATTTTGATCTACGTTCGATAGTTGCAAACGTCATATTGCCGTTATCGGGATCATAAAATTTGTGTAGTCAGCCAATATGGTCTGATGGAGCGGTACATTAGACACGTAAACATGTACTATCTGCTCATCGCAGCGGCAATCTGTCTTTCGACGTTGCCTCTCACTTTCGAGTTAATAGTTGGTAATAGCCGTCGAGAGCTAACATAACACAACCTCCCACGCATGAGTTACCGTCAATCGACGATATCGTTTGACAATCCACTCACCCATGCAAGGAATTGCGATTTTGCGCAATACGCTCCCTTTTGATCCCGCGAATTCTCCGACCAGAAAGCTTAACTCTTTTTTTTACTTTTACGAAAATTTGATTGCAAGCATTATATACGCTCAATATTTCGTTGATTACTAAGTAACGATTTTAAATTCTCATTAAAGTAAATTTTAATCGAAATTCACAGAAAAATAAGGTTTTATTATTTATTTGTTTGCATGTACCGTAATTACAAATGTTATTTACTATAACAAGAAAATAGATATTTAATTATTATCTGTAAGTTTCTTATTTAAAAATTTCAAACTTAATAAAGTTCAATAAAGTTAATATTTATATTTAACAATATAATTTTATAGCTTAAATAAAAATTTTCTTCTTTTTTAATTACATTTTTTTAAATATGTTTACACTTCTTACAGAAATATATTTTTAATCTAGATTCTAAATTGCCACTGAACTTTTTGTATCATATTCAATAGAATATAGAAAAATATAGAATATTTTCATAACTTTTTTATTATTTTTTTTTATTATTTATGTTAAAAAATACGTGTAACACATTCTTAAAACAAACTCGCACGCGACTATTCTTGCGCTATCTCGCGCGCTATTTGTTGCAGATCCGTAGTCGGTGATAAAGTCGCAATCAACGTGTTTTTTTCTGGGATCGGCACTGCCATCATCACTGTCGGCTTAGGAAAGAGCGATTTATGAGGATTGTTATCGACTTTAACGACTGTTATCGGCAATCCTCGATTTCCTCGCAAATTATTATCGAATCATTAATTTATCAAGCATTGAAACAGGATTAATGGTTTTAACGTGAAGGTCAAATCGTCTGTGCAATAGCACCTTCTAACTGTGCTTGCGCAATCTTATTCTAGATTATGATAAAAATTATACGACTTGGAAATTGGATTCGAAAATTCCACGTATGAATTTGAAAATTAAATGTATACCTTTTTCGTATTTACCATAAATAATATATAATAGCGTCGACAAAATAAAGATCGGGAAACAAGAAATTGTATTGTTTTATGTTGAGATAAAACTCTCTCTCTCTCTCTCTTTTACAGAAATTTCTTAAATAAAATCTCTAACATCTCATTATAACATTTTTATCAAATGAGAGAATTTAAAATTCTCTGCTATATCATGATAATTAAACACTATTTAAAATATCTGATTTATCATAATTGATTTATATCGTTATTTTTTTACTTTCTTTTTACTATTGTGCTGTTGAACACTTATATGATATCTTATCATAAAATAGCGGATTTCAATTTGTTTTGTTTTTTGTAGCGATGATAATTATTGTGATTTTTAGATATCATGCAATTAATTGCTTGTATTGTTCTTCGATGCAACGGTCATTATGATATTTAATTAATTACAAGCATCAGTATTTCGATAAGTTCTTTTTGATGGACATGATTTATGTTTTTGTAGATAATGATGCAATTAATTTAAAGAATTATTCATATCAATTAAATTGATAATTCACGCATAGATATACGTACATGTGTCTTTTAAAACTTTTTATTACTTATTGATAAAAATTATTGTCATAATTTGAAACACTCAATAAGTAAATTATTGTTTATAATCTCTCTCTCTCTCTCTCTCTCTCTCTCTCTCTCTCTCTTTATATATATATACATATATATATATATACACACACTCACACCACACATTATCAAAATTTCATCAATGTGTTATTTTTATTAGATGTAAATTTAGATATTTCTTTTTTTAGGTATAATTACAATGAAATTTTTTAAATGATGTCTTAAATTTTCTTCACATACAATTTTTTTTATTTTCGCAAAATATATTTTTCTTTTCTGTATATTTCATATAAAATTTATCAAAAGCTACAGCGATTTAATAACATGAAGATATTCAAAACAGCGTTATGTTAATTAGATTAATTATGTCAATCTACTCACCGGCCAAATCCGCGGGAAGTCTCGGGTATAACATGCCGGTCCGAGCAAACCACTCGAGCTGGAGTGGATGGATGTGATGCTGCTGAGGATGAGGCCCTCCGGATTGGGGATGGCCGACCGGTTGACCCTCCTTGTGTATCGAGTGGAAGGCGCTACCGCCGGCCGGATGATAATATAATCCTCCGGGATGAATGAGTGGTCCCGCGGGATGCAGTAGAAGGCCCTGATTCTGTCTGACCACCGCTGCACCCACGCCGTAGGGCCCGGACGCAAGACTCTGATGGCTTAGTACTCCGTTACTGGACGGATCTTCTGAACCGGGGGATATTGGAGGACTAGAAGCAGGACTGCGACTTGCGTTACTTCCGGGACTGGCGCTTCCGGTTCGCGTCGGATCCACGTCGACCGACGTATCATCTTCAACGTTTTCCAACCGGTCGTTCCGATAGTTACTGGTCCCCGTTTCAGGCCTGAACTGGCCCCTTTGGATAGACATGCCGGAATCACTGGAATGGAGACCAAGAACAGTCTCGCGATTGGAGGAGTGTTTCTCTCGAGTTTCCAAACTGGGCGAATCCGATTCATGATGTTGAATGAAAGGATTTAGAGAGTTTCTCAAGGCGGTTCTTTGATCTCCAGAGTATCTTATTGCGTTGGGAGATTCCCGTTCTTGAATGCTACCAAGATTCAGACCATCAGACTGGACACCGTGATTTCTGGAGAACGATTTTTGTCGATCGGCCGATGACTGTTCTATCTCATTCTGCTTCGTGGCGCGACCCAGAAGTGCATCGATGCAGAAGGACGTTTTACCAATGGAGCTATTGTGTTGATTGGATGAGCTGAGGATGTAATTTTGCGGCGAGGATGTCCTTCCAGGAGAACTTTCTGTCTCACGACAACGATTCGTTGCTATTTCATCGCTGAAACATTTTCTGGAAGAGTTCTCCGAGTCCTGGAAAAAAACTGGACCCGTATGGTCTTTAGGGAAACGTTTACTTCCGGCATCTTCGTGATATCTGATTACTCTGTCTTCCACGTCTGGTGATCTGGCACCCACGAAACGCACTTCTTCGAGCGATCTTACTCGACTGTCCAGTGGCGACCGGGCGTCTTCCGATCTAGGCGAAGATCCAGGATCTTGTAGTCTTTGTTGAAGGTTATAGAGATGTCGCGGATGCTGATGCAAGTCTTCTGAGACCATCTGCGCGTTGTAATGCATAGCTGCCATATCCTGCGATCACTATAGATCTTTAACACATATTTTCTGGTGTGATTATGTCCTCGCAATGTCAACACTATTGGAATCTAATTTAATTTTGTCACTTGAGCAATATAACGATTCGTGTTTCTAATCACTGATTCAAACGAATTGTACATAAAAATATCTAAAAGAATAATAATGAATGATTGAGCAAAATGTACCTATGTACTAGGATGATCTCCAAAATCAACACTTGACGCAAACTAACTCCTAATTATAATGAAGTCTTCATGCGACGATTGTAATTCCTTAAATCAATTGATTATAGATGATCTAGTGGATGTAGCTGCGTAAATCTCAGCAACGTTTTGCACAATTTCGAACGTCATTGCATAGCCGTGTCATTGAAGCGATTGTTAACTGATTCATAGTTCGGCCATACGCACTTAGTGGATTGATAATCGTCTTTCGCAACCGATCGATTCCGCGATTATACGAGTCACGATCTTCACACGAAGCCGACGACACGAGCAAGCGGCTCGGCGTCGCGTCGCAAAGTGACGTCGCGAGTGACCGCGTGTCCGCCGAAAAAGCTTCTCCCACTAGATAGAATCGCTGCAGCTGGCTTTTGACTACGCCCACCGCGGGTCGGGCGTGTCCGAGTTACACACCCACAGATCCTTCGGCGGGGGTGAGATACAGCGAGATACTTCCATCGAGTGCAACGGGGATAGCAATGCCACCCTCGAGTTTCCCCCTCGACCAATCAGAGCTTGCGTGAAGGATCGGCGCGAGAGAGATATAGAAAGAGACGTGAAGAGACGCACGAAGGTTCTCCACGTGACCGTGGAAGTCTGAAGGAGAAGCAAATAGGCGTGAAAATGTGGCGAGGGTGCAAGCAGATGAACGATTCCGCGACGTCTTCTGGGGGATTCTTGGTATCCGCAAGACGGGTATCAAGACGGTATGTAATCGATATTATCGTGTGTCATTAATTTAACTGTGGTTCAAGTCCGATGGCCACCTACTAGTAGGTTCGTAAGACTCAATTTGAAGAAAATGGTGAAATCGTTTTACCTCTTTTGCATTATAATCTTTTTTTATTAACATAATCCGTAACATGATAGTTCATGAGAATTATATTCCAGTCTACAGATTATTGTCTTAATATCTTCTACAGTATTAGGAAAATGGAATGAGGTAGAAACTAGGGTACTGAATTATGAGAGAGCAAATTATCCGTGAACCTTATTGGAAACTGATATATTTCTTTTATTCAATCAAACTTCTTTTTTGATTGAAATATCTTCTAGAACTTACCCTTCTGAATTATTTGAGTAAACTCCTCGGATTGACCCGTTTCTTATATTACAAGTTTTCTCGTTCTATAAATAAGCATCGAATTTCAGCAATTTTTCTTCTATCTTTTATATTCATCTTTTAATTTTCCATATTAATTACATACATATTTATGTATGTATATGTATAGTATATTATTATACATAATAATAATAAAATATATGTTATATATAATTTTAAAAGATACTCAGATATACATTTATAATTAAAATATTTCTTATCGTGGTAATGATTGGAGTCATTGAAATTAATTATAGCGTATATTTGATTATCTGAAAAATATGTAATCGCAGAGATATGCGTATTAATGAATATCCGTTCGGATAACATGCAATGAAGATAGTATCAATAATAACGTGTTGCGTTATCAGATACCTAATAATCATCTAATAGGTATCACACTCCGTTTGCGAGAAATCGTTCTCCTTATCGGCTGTTTCTCATTTCAGTCGAACGAATAGTTGATTATCAGTAGGATATAACAATGCGTCTAATGGTAATAAATATTTCTTTAACTTTTAAAATACTTTGTAATGAGTATTACGATTATGATTCAACAATCGTACAAAAGAATCAACGTATTCTAAAATTAAAATACATATATATTTAAAATACATTATCACAATAGAGAATTGTTTTATTAATTTTTTAATTATTAAACGTCCAGCACACATACATATATAGATACATATACACGACTGTTCTTAGAATGCGATTATAAGTATATTTAAAACTTGGGAAAGATTCTTCAGCGATGCAAAAATTGATAATAATTCGATGTAGATGCGTGAAGATCTCGTCGCGTCTAGATACTTGAGGCGTTTAACAATCGAAAAATGATGGATCACCCGATGTCGTCCGCTTCGTGGTTCCACCACGAACATTGTGCTTGGAAGGTAAATGGTTCGCTCTCCTCGTTTGCTCGTATGTAGCCAAATAAGAGACGAAAGAGTGTTTACTTAAGGGCCGAAGCACGTCCAGCACACTCACGGAATACTCGTTTTCACTCTCCTCTCGATACGTTTCTACGTACTCCCGTAATGTTATCGCATCAGTGTCGTGGACACACATGCTGTTTCCTTAGAATATATTTTGGAAGCTTAACACTCGATGCTCGCCAGTAGTTCAACCTACTTTTCTAAGACTTCGAGGAAAGTAAGAAAAAATTTTCTCAAAATTTTTTCAAATGCTTAGAAAGGAACGTTTAAACTGTTATATTCGCTTAATTCTTTATTTTATTGAATTTTTCTGGAGGATAAAATGTAAAATTACATCTGTTCTTATCTTAATTATTTTTCTTCAATTTATCATTTTATATTTATTATTATAATAAGTATATTCAATTGTTAGAGGAGAAAATCTTAACGATATAAATTTAGATGATACGTTAGAAAAAATTTATAGTTTGTTGTATTATAATTTACTTTATATTATGTTTTTATTTATATATTTTTTGCTATAATCACGTGTTTTTAATCCCATAAAAGTTATTTATTGGATAACCATTTTTACAGATCTTCTTATGTTTCAAATATATTATTCTTTCTTCAATATATATAATATTTTAATTATAAACACTTAAACTGTAATATGCAAAATGCGATTCATGTCTATAGTTTGTACTTCTTACATAAGTCCTTAGATATTAATGCATTCTACGCCACTGTCGATGTATCAGGGTCCATGCAGGTAGCAAACATATATATATATATATCATATTGTGGACCTCTAGTATACATATACAGAGGTAACTTTCTGTCACCCTCTTGCTACCGAGCAAACATAAAACGATTTTTAACCATCGATTATGCTCCGTCACGATAAGCGAGAATTCTCCGTATCGCCGTCCGAAAGCAAATTCGTAAAAAGTCTTTTACTCAAGAATGATCTTTGAAAACAAATTTGTAGGATCATATCTTAAAAAAATATGATGAACAATCGAGAAATAATATTACTTTGTAATACGCAAACAAATCACATATGTCTTATTAGTGATAAGTACAATTTCATAATTACACTATTGAATTTAACATTAAAAAATTAATGTTCGAAGTTGAGGTAAAAAAAATATTAAACTAGATTCATTTTACATAAGTGATATAATTTGGAAAAAAAAAAAACAATATTTGCCTCACAAAAAATGTTTAGCATAAATGGCGATGATGTTCCTATTAAGTCGGCAAATTTAAACACTTCGAATGGTGTAAACGCCACGCGATTGTACAAAGTGGAGATAACCATTCTCTCGTTTGGTAATGCTGATTGGCAGACTATTAGATTTCACGACTTTTTTGATAATCAAGAATTCAGAATAAATTAGCGGGCCCAAGTAAAAGGTGCGAGAGAGAAGAAAGCACTATGCTTTTGCGTCTCTCTTCGGCAAAAAATAATTAACAATTTGATAATGCTTAATTCGCACGTCGCACTTCTTATCCGAAAGATAAGATTGCTGTTTTGATTAGCTATCGGCGTCCGCTGATAAGTCCTAATTGATGTCGCGTATTCGCTTATCGCGAAGCATTTATATTTATGTAAATAAAAATTAAATATTATTAATTGAGTCATATCGTTTGCTCGTTTATCGGATAAATTTCAATTCTATGCTTACATTTACATGCAGCTAAAGTGACACTTAGAATGGTCAGGACCCAAAATTTATATAATTTTGTAAAATTATCAATGAGTTAAAAGGTTTGTTCACATGGTATTTTTATTTTTATTAGCTGATGTAATATAAACGTGATTATAACATGAAAAAGTTTTTTAATATAATTTTAAAATTATATCATTAAATTTATTTCACTCTCCTCTATTTCTAGTGACCTTCTAACTGTCACTAGAAATAGGAGAATTAAACAAATTTAATGATATAATATATTAGATAGTTATTCGAATTTCCTTACAAATTAAAAAAATATAAAAGAAATTGTTTTTCTATGGTTATATTTTGTTAAAAACGTTTGCTATATATATCGTGAAAAATTTAAAGTTACATTGATTTCTTATCAAACTTTAATTTGATATTGTTTAACGATACGATGGTAATTATCGATACATCTGTTATTGATAAGTGTGTGTATGATAATCTCGTGAAATATCGTACGCCGATATATATTTCTCTAAATATTATACATAAAATTTTATAATTGAATCATATTTATTTATATTATTTTTTGTTACTTTTAAGCATGATTAGGTAAAACAATATTATATATAATATAGCTGATAACAGACATGCGTATGAATCACTGTAGGTTTGTTTATCAGACGGATTGTACATAGCGATTTTATTGGTATAAATAGGTTAATGAAATGGCTATTTTATTACTGCGATAAATAAGCCATCACATCGTCATTAACTACGTCGCTCCACTTTAGATTAACGGGTGATAATGGCAAATGAAACCATATAATTGATTTATAAGTTTTCCATTAAAGTTACGTGTGAAATATTATCGCATCTTGATATATTTATCCCCTTTATCAGCTTGGATATGTAATTCGCACACATATACACAATTTGTTCATCAATACGATCCATTAACGAAAATCATTTATTTTCTTTACACAGACATTTTTTTAACATTCTTGTTTTATCATTTTACTTTAACTTTATCCATACATTTATCGCCTTGTTACACTAACCATGTTATTATACACGATACGGA